TCCATAGGCAGAGCATCCCCGAAGGCTGCTGGTTGGTTATTTTTATGGTTATTTTTTGATCATATGCTAAACAAATGATAGATTATTCGTGAGTTTTCTGGGAAAGGGGTGGAGATACCCCTCCAGCTGAGGATTCTTCCCCTTCTTAAGCCACGTAGAGTAAGTTCCAGTTGTTACCATGGCATCTGTAAACTGTGATGGCACTGGTGGGAGTGTCTTTTAGCATGCTAATGCATTATAATTATCATGTAATGACCAGTGAGGACGACCCGGTCACTTTCATGGTATTCTTGGTTTTGTCCAGCTTCTTTACTGCATCCTGTTTTATCAGTAGGGTCTTTACGACTGACCTGTATCTTGGGATACCAGTCCTGCGAACTTCCTATCTCATCCTGTGGCTAAAAACACTTAAACTCCTGGGAATGTAGCCCGGCAGGTCTCATCTTCATTTCACCCAGTTCCTATTCAAGATGGAGTCACTTTGGTTCAAATATCTCTGGCAGAATATTCTAATGAGAGCCTAGGCCATCTTGTAGATGGACTCGTGCTTATCCCAGGAGAATCTTTTCCACCTTTTGCTCCATGTAACACCAGTGTAACTTTTCCTTTGTCACACTGCTATATTTTGTACCTATCAGTCTTGAAGCAGTCATCTTGCAGTAAGGGAATTTATCACTGAAAGGGGGTTGTCAGTTTCAGACTTCCCAACTGGCCCGAGAGCACCTTGAAAGCAAGTCTTGCTCATTATGATGTCTCTGGCAGTTCAGTATGCTTGGCACAGAGGGGAGTGTTCTATACTGTTTGCTGACTGAAGATGTGGGATGATAATGTATGCTGGATTAGGCAACAAGGAGGTCATTAGTGATAGTGGTCACTCTCAAAGAGATGCTCATTGAGGACAGGCTGCTCCGAGAGCTGCTGCTGATGGGACCTGTACACAAGTGCTTAACTGATGGGATTCCCGCCACCTCCACTCTCTAGCCGCACCCTCTGATGTGGCCTCAGCCCTAAGGAAGGATGTCATTTACTTACTGATCTACCCAGACGGTCATGGTTTTAGTTTGTCAGCGGGAGGAGGCCCCTGTGAACTCAGAGGCACTGCTCCTGTAGCAGAGTTGCTGGCTGCTGTGTTGCTCCCATCTCCTGAGATAGCAGTCATGATTGGAACCCTACTGCATCACTGTATTCCATTTTCTCTGTGAAGGAGGAAAACCTATCACAGAATGAAAGGAAGGTACTTTAGGAAGGCCATCATCACCTCACATCTGAAAAAATGTTCAAAGAGCCCAAGATGTTCCACAGGCAACTCAAACTCCACATGTGCAAAATGGAAGTCTTCACCTCTCCTGGGCACATCTGCCCTCCTCCTGCGTGTCCTTCATTGGGTACACCTGGTTGCTAACCTAGATGTCCTCCTGCATCACCACTCCTCTCAGTCTGCCCACAAGTCTTACCAGGTTCACCTCAGAAGGCTAGTTCCCATCACCACCTCCCCTTCATTCTTCCCTCACTGCCCCGCCTGGGTCCAGTATCCTCCCGTGATTAGATAATGCTTTCCTCACAAGTTTCATTTCCAGATGCCCTCCAGATATCCTTTAAAAACAGGATCTGATTGCCCTGTGGTATGGTTTGACTGTCACCCCACCCAAATCTCATCTTGAACTGTAGCTCCTGTAATTCCCACGCATCATGGGAAGGACCTGGTGGGAGGTTATTGAATCATGGGGGGAGGTCTTTCCCGTGCTGTTCTTATAATAGTGAATAATTCCCACGACATCTGATGGTTTGGTAAATGAGCGTTTCCCTGCACATGCTCTCACTTGCTGGCTGCCCTTTGTAAGACCTCCCTTTGCCCTTCCTTCATCTTCCACTATGATTGTGAGGCCTCCCCAGCCATGTGGAACTGTGAGTCCATTAAACTTCTTTCCTTTATAAACTACCCTGTCTCGGGTATGTCTTTATTAGCAGCATGAGAATGGACTAATACGCCTTGCTTTAAACACTTGCATGTCCCTCTTTACTCTCAGCCCACTGGACGTGTCCTGACTCTCTAGTTTGGTATACCAGTCCACTGACTTCTGTGCCCACCTACCCCTCTGGGCTTTTCAGCAGCACCTGCATGGGCATGGTGCTTCAGTCAGTTTCCTGAGCATGACCAGCTCCTGCAGCCTCCTTGGCTTTGCATGTGCTGTTCCCTGTGCCTGCACCCTCTCTCCTGTGTGTTGGACTCATCCCCAGATGACTCTGAATCCCCCTCTATGTTCTCTGTCCCTCTGCTGTGCAATTGTGCCCTCATTGTCACACCTGGTGTCCACATCCAATCATTTATTTTATCTTCCCCACAGGACCTTGCTGTCATGAAAGGTGATGAGCTGTTCATTTTTCTCTCTCCACAATCTGTTGAAGTGTCTAGTATGTATTTGGTACAAAGTAAATCTTTATCAAATTGAAAGTCGATCAGGGGCTGGATGCAGTGGCTCACACCTGTAATCCCAGCACTTTGGGACGCTAAAGTAGGCAGATCACTAGAGGCCAGGAATTCGAGACTAGCCTGGTCAACATGGTGAAACTTTATGTCTACTAAAAATACAAAAAATTAGCTAGGCGTGGTGGCACATGCCTGTAATCCCAGCTACTCAGGAGGTTGAGGCAGGAGAATCACTTGAACCAGGAGGTAGAGGTTGCAGTGAGCCAAGATCGCACCACTGCACTCCAGCCTGGGCAACAAAGAGAGACTCTTGTCTCAAAAAAAAAAAAAAAAAAAAAAAAAGTCTATCAGCAGGGATCTCAACAGCTGTACAATGGAATAATGGAATAGCAGGCAACTACCAAGAATGATTTAGCTCCACACATACTGATGATAATTTCAGGGTGATATTTACAATGTACCTTTTTTTTTTTGTAAAAGGTAGAAAAAGAACTCTTTACATTTGCTTCTGCGTATCTGAATGTAGAGAAACATATGAAAGAAATCCTTGATTGACCCAGTGAGCGAGGTTGGAGGAAGGAGAGGAAGGGTGATTTTCTTTATAACTCTATTGTTTGACTCCTCACAAAGAGCTTTATTGCTTCTGTAAAACCAATTAGGCAAAATCAAGTAAATGGTTGCTGGATGATTAAATAGCCTTCAGGAAAGAAGTTTTCAGAAAAGGAGGAATACTGTTTCTGTTTCTTCTGAAGAAAACCAAAATTGGCAGAAAATATAACTATGGTATTATTATTCACTTTGCAAAGGATTTTTCTCTACCCTAAAAGAATCTTCATGAGCTTCTTTTTAAAAGGCATCTCCAGTAAAGCTCTGACGCATTTCATCCTCTTCCTCATGTCCTTAACTGCAGCACTTGACAGAGGGTGGGACTGAGAAAGAGAAAGTTTTAAGAGTCGGTGCCAATTGAAGATCAATCTGCAATGAGATAAGCTCCATTGATATTATAATGTAATTATGGGGGGAAATTATTACATTGAAAAAATTCAAAGTTCACCTAGCTTTTCTGGGGGAGAGACACCAGAGGAGCCTACTGGAAGGAGAAGAGAAGGTGTCCCCCTTCCCAGAGCTGGGGACCACAGGCAAGGCCATGGACTTGAGGGCACTTCTCCAATCTCTAGCAGATAAATTATGCCCAAATCCCACATCTTACTGAGAAAGCAGGTGTCTGCAATTAGTCACGGAAGTGAGGTGGGTGGTCATGGGCAGAGAAGAAAATTTTTTTAAATAAAAAAATAAAAATTAGGCAAAGTAGAACTTGACAGTCACCATGAAAACAGAAGAAACACTACGAAAGTGATATCATTAGCATGGCTGTGGGCCTGTCTTATCCTTTGGTCTCTAAAGCAGGAGACAATGAGAGCTACTTACTGACTCATTTTTAGTATTTGATAAAAGAAAAAAGCTAATCAATCAGGCTTACCTTATTGACTTATTAATGTCCTTGTTACTAAGGGATAATTTTAAAAAGGATTTTTCTACCAAAAGAAGGGAAATCAATCCATAGACCTCTTTGGGCTCCCACCCGCAATTTGTATAGGATAAAGTCAAGTTTAAAATAGAGAGTGCACCCGTAAGGTTGAGAAGACATCGTGCGGTGACTCCTTTGCATAACATGAAACAAGGTTGGTTGGTCTTTCTCTGTAAAGAGCAAGATAGTAAGTATTTCAAGCTTTCTGGGCCAAGAAACATAATCAAGAAACATAATCAAGGATATTATGTAGTTACTTGTATAACAAGAGCAAAACAATTTTTTCCCACAACTTTTAAAATTGATCAATTTAAAAACTTTAAATTGATCAATTTAAAAACTTTAAACTGTACTGGTACAGTTTGCATTTTATATTGTTTTCATGTGTCATGCAATAATATTCTTTTTTTTTTTTTGAGACGGAGTCTCGCTCTGTCACCCAGGCTGGAGTGTGGTGGCGCTATCTCGACTCACTGCAAGCTCTGCCTCCCGGGTTCACGCCATTCTCCTGCCTCAGCCTCCCGAGTAGCTGGGACTACAGGCGCCCGCCACCACGCCCGGCTAATTTTTTGTATTTTTAGTAGAGACGGGGTTTCACCGTGTTAGCCAGGATGGTCTCGATCTCCTGACCTCGTGATTCGCCCGCCTCGGCCTCCCAAGGTGCTGGGATTACAGGCGTAAGCCACCGTGCCCAGCCTATAATATTCTTATTAAATTTTCCTGCAAGCATTTGAAAATGGAAAAAGCATTCTTAGCTTGTGGGTCGCACAAAAACAGGTTGTGGCCTGGATTTCGCTCTGGGGCCATCATTTGCCGACCCCTGACATAAAACACTTCTGAGTCATGTCAGGGTCCTTAATCAGTTAGGTCATCCAAGCTCAGACTGAACTGGGACATGGTTTCAGAATCCTCAACACTGCACGCCTGCCAGAGACAACCACAGGAAGTGGGGAGGGAGAAGCTGTTGGCTGTGCAGTAGCCATCTGACGGCTGCTTGAAGGACCGTGAACTCAGTTATCACCAGCATTCTCCCTGCTCTTTCAGATCTGGGTGCAGTTGGCTCAGTCCTCCATCCCTACCCTCGGGAAAGTCTCTCTCCCAGATTTCAGCTCCTCCTCAACAAGCTTGCACGTTGTGCCGAAGAGCAATCGCTTCTGCTGTATCAGGTCAGTTTACGAATTCACTTGCCCTTGTGAATTCATGTGCCCTTCATCCTTGCCTCATCCAGAACAGGGAATTCAATTATTTTAATATTTTACGTATTTTTTTTACAAGCCCACAGAATTTTAATGTAAGTTTGGAGAGACAATGGCAATTTACATGGTAGCAGTAACAGCATCTGCTCAAAGTCATTGTATAAGTCATCATCATAGCTAACACTTCCAGGAAATTGATTTCTTTTGCCAGGAGCTTTTCACATATTATTTAATCCTGCAATAGTCATTAGAAATAGGCTTTTTCTTTTTAACAGTTATTATCCTGTTTTACAAAAAAGAAATGAAGCTTAAGAGATTGAACAGCTTGCTAATCACAGAGCAAGTTAATGATAGAGGTGAATTTTGAACACTGTCAAGTCAGGCAGTGGCTTATGCCTGTAATCCCAGCACTTTGGGAGGCCAAGGCAGGTGGATCATTTGAAGTCAGGAGTTCAAGACCAGCCTGGCCAACATAGTGAAACCCCGTATGTCTTAAAAATACAAAAATTAGTTGGGAATGGTGGCACATGCCTATAGTCACAGCTAGTAGCTAGACTGAGGTGGGAGGATCGCTTGAACCCGGGAGGTGGAGGTTGCAGTGAGCTGAGATTGTTTCATTTCACTCTAGCCTAGGCGCAGAATGAGACTCCGTCTCAAACAAACAAACAAACAAGGAACACCATAATCAACGAGCCAGAACACAGTGAATGAGCCAGAGCCCATGCACCTAAACACAACACAGTTCTCCCTCCACAGCACTTTAATTGAACATCAGACTTTTTGTTGTTGTTGTTGTTGAAAGTTCTTCTATCACCTCCCTGGGAATTCTCACTGTCCTAACCACCTCATGGAGTGTCCTGGCTTCTAGCCACTCTCCTGGCTCCTCTCCTTGCCCATGTCTTTCTCACCTCTTCTCCCAGACTGTTTTCATGAACTCTTAGTGTCTTGATCCAATTCTTTAGAGTAATTTAGCTCTTGCCAGCTCATGTTCCCAACCTGAGCTCTAGCAGAAGCCTTCTGAGGGACATAATGTGACTTTTCAGGAAGAAAACATTCATTGGCCAATTGTATGTGGAAAGCTAGGATAAGGCCCATAAGGAGAAGGTGGAAGAAATGAAGAACACTAGAAAATCAGAAAATTGAGGGATGTTTTTCTTTCTGAGAGAGAAGAGTAAACAAGTGAGAGTGGAAGAAGGCAGAGAAGATGTAAGACTTTTAAAAAAAGAGGTTGCTTTGCCCCAAACTATTTAGTCAGGTCTTCTACACACAAAAATGCCTCGTGAGAAAATGCAGAATGTGGGAAATCAAGAAATGAAGAATTCCCTGGAGATAGATGGTGGGAAATGAATGTAAGCTCCCTGAGCATTTAAAGAAATTCTGTAAACTTTCCATATTGAATTTTTGACACTGGACATTCTACAGGGCACAATAATGTTATCTAAATCCTTGGGAACAGGGTGAATCTACATCATAGAGTGGAAGCCACCAGAGAAGAAGAGATTCTATCTGGATATGGAGAATGAAAAAAAAAAAAAGTGTAAAGAGGGTGAGTGTATAGTCATCTGGAAGCCATGTCACAGAGAGGAGGGGAGAGATTAAAGGGGACCTGAATAAGAGCAGGATGGTGGGGCTTGAAAGGATGGGATGAACATGAGAGATGTGATGACACTGGTCAACAGAGACCTCTCTAGGGATGTCAACCAGAAAGGGGTGTAATGTAGGAAATTGGGCGTTTTTACACTTCTTTGGAAGGGCAAGAGAAATGGGCTCTGGGCTGACCTCTAGGAATGAACAACATTGCAGAATGACCCTCCTGGGAACTGCACCCCTGACTCAACAGTGGGGGAATCAAGAGACCACTTTTAGCACAATAGGTTTCTGAAAGAACCCACCCTCGCTGTGGCAGGTGCTGCGGTCACTGCAAGTACTATCTGGAGAGCTTTACTAGGCTGCTCCATCTGCAACAGCAAAATGTGAAGAGCCCAGCCCCCGCCTCGCAGCCCCCATTGCAGCAGTGACTGGACACGGGAGCACCATTGTGCTTGCCAGCAGAAACCAGCAGAGAAAGATCTCTTCCACTTCATCCTGCCCTTCAGATTCCACACAAGTGCTTCTTATGGGGGATCTTAAATCCATTAAGAACCCTGCCCTGCCAAGCCATATTGGAGTCAGAGGCAAAAGGAAATGTCAGTAATACTGCATTACTTTTTATCTATTTTTCTTTTTTTGACAGGGTCTGGCTCTGTCATCCAGGCTAGAGTACAGTGACTCAATCATGGCTCACTGCAGCTTTGACTTCCCAACCTCAGGTGATTCTCCCACTTCAGCCTGTCAAGTAGCTGGGACTACAGGCACACACCATCATTTCCAGCTAATTTTTTTGTATTTTTTTTATAGAGACGGGGTTTTACCGTGTTGCCAGGCTGGTCTTGAACTAAAAAACTGGGCTCAAGCAATCTGTCTGCCTCCATCTGCCAGAGTGCTGAGCCACTGCACACAGCCACTTTTTTTTTTTTTTTTTTTTGAGATGGAGTCTCGTTCTGTAGCCCAGGATGGAGTGCAATGGCGTGATCTCCGCTCACTGCAAGCTCTGCCTCCCGGGTTCACGCCATTCTCCTGCCTCAGCCTCCTGAGCAACTGGGACTACAGGCGCCCACCACCACGCCCAGCTAATTTTTTGTATTTTTAGTAGAGATGGGGTTTCACCATGTTGGTCAAGATGGTCTCGATCTCCTGACCTCGTGATCCGCCCGCCTCGGCCTCCCAAAGTGCTGGGATTACAGGCATGAGTCACCGCGCCCGGCCGAGCCACTTTTTAATTTTTCAAAATACTGCATTAAGAGTACTTATCTTGATTACTGAGTTTTTTGATGCCCCTTAAATTTTGTGCCTGGGGTGCCTTGCTTGCCTCATCCTAGACCTGGCCCTATTAAGAATTCCAGTTACAAGGGAGTCTTAGAAATACCGTGTTTAGCTTTTCATCCTCTGTGGTACTGACAGCACCATGGAAGAGGCTGGGATGAAGGTAGCATCATCTACAAAAGCCATCACTGTCAACCTGGCTAGGGCTGTGGAATCCAGCTGTTTGGTCAAACACCATTCCAGATGTTGCTGTGAGATATTTTAAATCAATATTTTATTTTATAAGAAAAATAACAAGTTTTTTTTGAAACAGTCTCTCTCTGTCACCCAGGTTTGAGTGTCATGTCACTGTCATAACTCACTGCAGCCTGGAATTCCTGGGCTCAGGCAATCCTCCTGCCTCACCCTCCCAAGTAGCTAGGACTACAGGTGTGAGTCACCACAATCGTCTAGTTTCTTCATTTTTTGTAGAGATAGGAGTCTTGCTGTGTTGCCTAGGCTGGTCTTGAACTCCTGGTCTCAAAAAATCCTCCAGCCTCGACCTCTCAAAGCGTTGGTATTACAGGCATGGGCTACCATGCCAGCTGGTATTTTTTAGATGTGACTGACATTTAAATCTTTGAGTAAAGCAGCTGACCGTTCCTAGTGTGAGTGGCCTCATTTAATCAGTGGAAGGGTTTCATAGAAAAACCAAGGTTCCCCTCACTCCTGAGAGGTAGGAACTCTGCCTCCAGACTGCCTTCTGGCTCAAGACAACATCAGCTCTTGCTGGAATTTCCAGTTTGCCCTGCAAACTGTCTATTCCCACCACTGTGTGAGCCAGTTCCTGAAAGTAAATCTTTGTCTCTATTTCTATTGCTGTCTCCGTCTCTATTGTCTCTATCCCTATCTCTATCTCTATCTCTCCTCTTTGGTTCTGTTTCCTGGGAGAACCCTGACTAATACACTGGGAGGAGGTGACAGAGGTGAAGGGTCAGTCTGCTAGCTCTACCGAGGTGGAGATAGAAGTAACAATACTGGGTAACAATATGCTTCATACAGAAGGAGAGAAGGAGGCGGCTAAGCTGGTTCCCAGGTTCCCGTGTGGGTGACCGCGATAAGGACGACAGATACAGTACCAGATATCTCCATGAGAAAACGACGCACATGCCACAGTACCAGATATCTCCACGAGAAAATGGAGCACGTGCCACGGTACCAGATATCTCCACGAGAAAACGGAGCACGTGCTCGTCGTCTTTGGAAGATGCAGTTCCCTGATCTCCCACATGCAGCTCTGTTCCAGTGCATGAGATCCACCTTGTGTATTTCACACATTGGTTGCCTGGGACAAGTAATTTGGTTATTTGCTTGCTTGTTCATTCATTAAATGCATGTTTATTAAGTGTGTCCTGTGTCAGGTACTATTGTAGGCTTTGGAGAAACAATAGTGAAAGAAAGCTGAGATGGCTTCTTCCATGATGTTTTCAATCTGATTCAGAGAGGTGTGACAAACACACACACATGCAAATAAAGGGAACAGTCCCAGGTAGTGATGTGTGCAGCTGGGTCAGTGAAACAGGGCAGTGTGATGGAGGTACAGGGAGTAGGTGCTGCCTGACACGACCACTCACCTTGAATATGCCAGGACTCCCATCCCAGCATCACAGATGGTCTAGGTATGAGGGAACACTGAGCTGTCTTGTGTGTGACCCGCTGGAATGAAAGGAAAGAGCTCCAGGCTTATATGACAAGTTACTGAAGGGGAGCCTGAGCCCAGGACAAATGTCTGTGATGAACAACTTCTTCCTCTCTTAGTCTATTCAGGCTAAAATACCATAGGCTGGGCAACTTAGAAATACAGATTTCTTTTCCTACCCATTCTGGAAGCTGGGTGCCGGCAGATTTGTCGTTTGGTGAGGGCCTGCTTCCTGATTCCTAGATGGTATCTTCTAATGGTGTACAAATGTGGTGGAAGGAGTGAGGGTTCTCTCGAGCCTCTTTTCTAAGGGCACTCATCCCATTTATGGGGGCCCCACCTTTACGACCTTATCACCTCCCAAAGACCCTGCCCCCTAATATCATCGCCCTGGGCTTAGGATTTCAACATGTGAATCTGCAGGGGACACACATGTGCAGGCCATAGCCGTTCTCCATGCTGATGTGTAATGGGCAGTCACTGAATGAGTCTCTGTGAGGCAGTGGAGGGGGAGCTGGATGGCAAGGCCCAGGCCCGGGCCGAGTCTACGAAGAGCAGCATCGGGACCTCCCGGGAGACAGAAGCTCTTTGGGGTGAAGGTGATGCCTATTCGTTGTGTTTCCAGCAGCGGCACAGTATTTGGCACACGGCAGGTCCTCTGTAAGTACTGGTTGATGAAGTAAGGAATCCCTTGGCTGAAGGTGGAGGGACTGGCTACTGCGGGACCAGAGAGCCTTTGCATTTTGGATGATTTCTTCACACTTGGGAGAAGTATTTTCCTCCTTCCATAAAACAAGTCCCAGAGCCTCCCAGGCAGGAAGGACTGTCTGGCCAAATGGCTCTGACTTTGTCTTTTTTATTTCAACACTTGCTGTCCCCTGGGGGACTACGATTCACTTTAATGCTCCCGCCAAAGTGAGGCCAGCCAGCCCTTCCTGTCTGGGAGGCTTTCCTTAGGTTTGCCACCTTCGCACGGCTGAGATGGCCTGGGAATTTAGGAAGACTTCTTTAAACGCGAAGGGAGTGGAAAAGATGGCTAAGCCAAGAGCATGCATGAGGAATAAAAGCTGTCAGGTTTCTGCTGTCTGGTTTTCTCATCTTTCTATAATCTTCTGGCCTTGGTCCTCCATACTATGCAGAAAGAACCCGAAAGATGAGTACACTTTTACAGACAACCTGACTCAGCCCTAGGCCCATCTTCACAAATAGGGAACAAATCTTACTTCCCTTTCACACTGAAATGGGTATTCACCATTAAGAAAAGATCACCGGATTTAACAAATCAAAGTATAGGGCACTCAGTTAAAATTTGAATTTCGTGTAAGTAACACAGAATTCTTTGATATAAGTATGTCCCAAATATTGCAAGTTCCAGATGTGGCATGAGGCATATTTATCTTAAAAATGATTTGCTGTTTATCTGAAATTCAAATTTGACTGGGAGTCTTGTATTTTATCTGGCAACCCAAGGAAAAGATTTGAACCCTGCCACCAGCATAGGGCCTTTCCACTCAGGGCTCATCCTGGGTTCCTGCCTGAGGCCTCCACACCTCCCTCTGGGGTTTGGTGGAACTTTTATAACTGTTCCAATAAGTGGCTTCTCCCTTGACTGGAGACCCTACCCCTCTCCTTGCCTATACACGCAGGGGTCCTCGCCTGTCTGGACAGAATCTCAATATCTGAATCATGCATGGAGCATACCAGCCACACAACAGGAATTACACACTTCATCATAGTTTATCTGGTCGGCATAGAAGAGCTTCGTATTTTTCTTTGGGAACACAAAGCGCAAACCATGCTGAAAAATCTCAAGGACAGTAAGCTTCATGATAGATACAGTGGCTATTCAGACGAGAACACGTCAATTTCTCTTACATATCAGCGGATTAAACAGTCAGCCAACCCTAAGACATGCCCAGGAGCTATTTTCAGCTCTGTTTTAACCTGTTGAGCTCCAAATAGAAACTTCTATATTTTTATCTTACGTTACGCTTCCTTTAAGGGAGTCAGTCTATAGGGTAGTGAGGTTAAAAAGAAATAACTAACAACTTTCAAGAAAACAATCTAAAATAAGCACCTGTGTGGTGATTATAAAAATATACAAATTTCCTTTGCTTCTAGTGGTCATGTTGAAGCCCACACATTTGTGATGTGCATTGAGCCACACAGTTCTTTTCCATTTGCCCTTTTAGGTCAGATCTGCTAGATTTCCTCCCTCCCCCTCACATGATCAGGACAGGATTTCTTGCTTTCTTGTGTTGAAGCACAGTGATAATACTGTTTAACCCTTGATTCAAATATCCTGGGTAATGGCCACATGCCCCATGATAAAATATGTCCAAAGATTAGCTGGAAGTCCTGGGCCTGCTTCTCTTACCAACTCTGGCTGTCTTAGTAGTGTTTACAAGTGTCTTTAGTCACCTCCCTTTCTCCTTTGCTTATGTGGGCACGAGATTTTGAGTTCTTTAATAGATTTTAAGTTTAGCAAGAACAAGGACCTTGCCTTGTTCACTGTTCTATTGGTTTGCTAGGACTACCTCATAAAATATCACACATTAAGTGGCCTAAGCAACAGAAATCTATTTTCTCATAGTTCTCATAGTTCTGGGGGCTGCAAGGCCAAGATCAAGGTGTTGGCTGGTTTGATTTGTGCTGAGGCCTCTCTCCATGGCTTGCAGGTGGCTGCCTTCTTTCTGTGTCCTCACATAGTCTTTCCTCAGTGCATGAGCCCTTGAGTGTTTTTGTCTGTAAAATTTCCTCTGCTTAAAAGGACACCAGTCAGTTGGATTAGGGCCCGTGCTAACAACTTTATTTTAATTTAATCGCCTTAAAAATTTTATTATTATTATTATTTTAGAGACATGGTCTTGCTCTGTTACCCAGACTGAAGTGCAGTGGTGCAATTATGGCTCACTGCAACCTTGAACTCCTGGGCTCAAGTGGGTTCCCACTCCAACCTCCTGAGTAGCTGGGACTACAGGTGGGCATCACAACACTGGCTAATTTTTAAATTTTTTGCAGAGACAGGGTCTCACTGTGTTGCCTAGGCTGGTTTTAAACTCTTGGCCTCACGTGATCCTCTTGCCTTGGCCTCACTAAGCGCTGAGCCACTGTGCCTGGGCCGTAATCACATTTCTAAAGGTCTTGTCTCCAGATACAGTGGCATTCTGAGGTTCTAGGGGTTAGGGCTTCAGTACGTGAATTTCAGAGGACACGTAATTCAGCCCGTAATAGTCACCATTAGTCCAATAACTAATGTAGTGCCTGGTACATGACAGATGATAAATCTTTTTGTACTCATTTGTTGAATGAGTTCACAAACTTTGATGATGTCATTGGTGAGGCACATTTACTTAGAGTGTCTTGTTAAGCCAGAGCATCAGATTTTTAAGCTTCTTCCTACGCACCTTAGTGGTCATCCATTGTGTCATGGAGAGTCATCTGACCATGCATATAACTTGTGTGACACCCTCTCTTCCACAGAGGATGCTGTATAGTAAGTGTGTGCCTCACACTCACAGGCACAGAGCCTGTCCTGTCCACGTTGTTGCCACCTGCCCTACGCGCAGCAGGCTGCGATGGCGGCCCAGGCTCCCAGCTGTCATTCTCCAGTCCTCCTTTTGGCAAATGCTTGACATGCATCTCCACGTTTCCTTTATTTCCTTCAAATTGGGAAGAAAAAAAAATAGAATCTGTCAAAGAGCTCCTGCTACTTGTGTGGGGAGAAGGGGAGCCTCAACAACTTGCCCATTGTCTAGGCGTTGCTCTACCAGTCTTTCAGGAAAAAGAAAAAAAAAAAGCCCCAAAACTTTGATCCCTGGGGAGGTGAAGCGGAAGTTGATCTTCACCATTAAATTTTTTTATAGATAGCAAAGTCCATGCTTCCACCTGCATCCAAAGCACAGAGGCAGCTGGCAGAACAAAGCACCAGAGAAAAATAGCTGACCAGAATCTCTTAAATTGCCTGTGTACAGGTGCAACTTGTTTTTCATCTTGGTGGCAGCCACTAGTGATTGACAATGTTTTACCCAGAGGACTTAACCCTTTTTTCACCTAGATGAGCCAAAGAGACAAGTCTCATGGTTTAGAAAACAGTTCATACCCCTCTGTAGGTTCTAAGCCATTCAGCCCAAAGGCATGGGAACCGTACTTCAAACTAATGCCACCTGCAACAAAGGAAGGAACGACACGATGTCAGAGAAAAAGTTTAAAAAAAATATATTGCTAGGTCTCTCCAGCTTTGAAGCCAAGGCTGGGACACATCTTATTTTTTTAATCAATAGATAGATGGAGACGGCATGTGACGAACGCGCCTCTGGAATGGGATGCGTTACAAGTTGAACTCTGGGTGTTGAATAAGTCTTAAGTTACCTGTTCTAGAAAACCAATCCCTTTATGCCCTCAGCTTTTGTTTTATTATTAACATTAAACAAGTTATTTTAGGTGGTAGACAAGCAGTAGGGAGGAAACGCCAGTGTGCAGCCTAGTTTAAAAACCTCCAAAGACAGAGAACTGAGCAGCTTCACTGGTCCTGAGCTGGTTTGGTTGTGTTTGCCCCAGGACTCCCACTACATCTCACCTGGGTTACTTTTCATAGTTGTGTGCAAGGACATTTGCCACTGGGGAGTCCC